TGGACAAAGGGCATAAGAGTCTCCATGTATAAGATTGTTCCAAATACCTAGATGGGCAGGGTTTATGTGAGTTCACACACACATGTTTATTTGGAATGCTATTGGCTGGATTGCCTTCTGATGTAAACATTTTTCTCTGAGACAACTTGTCTGAAAACCAGAATCCTTTTCTGTATTAATCTTCCTTCTTTTCCATTCTGCTGTCTAATAAGGTTTCACATCATGTGTGTTCTTCCATCCCTTCCCGTTAATCACATGGCTACCACCTGAATGGATGCAACTGTTTATCTCGGGTACCAACTTCAAAGCTCCTTCTTTGCACTCTTCCTCCTCCCCCTCCCGGCTAACTACTGCTAATCACTACCATGGATTTCATTATGTCGCTCCTCTATTTAAGCAACTCCAGTGGCTTCCCACTAACCACAGGAAGAAAAAAAAAAAAAGTCCATACTTCTCTGCCTAGTGATCTGGCTCCAGCCCCCAGGCAATCTTACTTACCTCCCACAAGTTCCCAGCACGGTTCCACTGGGTTCACTGTATTACTCCCTAATGCTTTTCCTTAAGCCTTGTTCATGTTGTTTTCCCCACTGGATTACTTATCCCACTTTCTTTTGCCCATCCAGATCCTATCATCCTTCAATGGCCAGCCAGCTTAAATAATTACCTTTACTTCAAGGCCTTTCTTCACAGTTCTGCACACATTGATTTCCTTTCTCTGGTCTCCTATAGCGCAAATTGTTTCTATGGCTCATTGTGACTTACACATACTGCTTTGCTTTGTTATGTTTCCATGTGTTAGCCTTGCTTCCTCTGAGGCAGGAATTTTCTTTAAGCCATGTTTTTGTGTTTTCTGTAGCATCGAGCACAAGGCTAAACATAATAGATGTTCAATAACTGGTAGTTACATTTTGGCTAGTGGCTTCACCAAGCTCATTTATACACACCTGACACGATGTATATGAACTTCTTGCTACTGACTTCCTGCCAAATCCTCTCCACAAACTTTATGCTTTCCCTCAAAACCCTCCCCTCAGCTTCCACCTACTTGACAAGTCTTCTGGCCGTCATTGTGGGCAAACTTCCCTTTGAAATCCTAAACTGATTTCCTCCACTTCCCTTCATCTCCCTGACTTAATTAAATCTAGCTCTTGCTTAAACCCATTTCATTCCTTGCTATCCTATCCTGTGGAGAACTTCCTCCCTTTTCCTGTTCACCTGATTTAAATGTTGAAGTAGACAGTCACACTCATCCTCACTTGCTACTATTATTTCTTCTTTTTTTAAAGATTTTATTTATTTATTTTATTTGAGAGAGAGAGAGAGCACAAGTGCTTGCGTGAGCTGCGGGAGAGAGAGGGAGACAGAGAATCTCAAGCGGACTCCACACTGAGTGTAGAGCCCCAGGCAGGGCTTGATCTCACAACCCTGAGATCATGACCTGAGCCGAAACCAAGAGTCGGACACTTAACCGACTGAGCCACTATTATTTCTGCTCTTCCTTTGACCATTTTCTTCTTCCCTACTCACCATTTTTTTTTCTAACTTCAGTATTATATCAGCAACTAATTTACAATAGTCTCCTCCACTCCAATTTGTCAACCTCAGTAAATTCAATGTTCACACCAGCACCCCTTTGTATCCATGTCCTGTTTCCAACTCCTTAGTCTCCTCAACTCTGTGGACTTGTGTCACCTCTCCACAGCAGCAAGGCCAAACCATGCACCCTGATGGTTTTCTGAGGTCTCTATCTTGAGCCTCTTGAGCATCTCTAATTAGAACCACTTTAACCAACATTTCTGTTCCCCCCACCACCCTTGATTTCTGCTGTGCCTCATTGACTTAATCCATAACTTTCACCAGTCCATTTCAAATGCTGCTCCATAAACTTGAAGAAATGTAGTTAAAACACAGATTTCATGGCACTCTTAATTTAGTACATAAAGCATGAATTTTCAATCTTAGCTATATCTGAGAATTTAAAAGTCTGAGTCCCATCCACAGAAATTGATTTAACTGGTTTGCAATTGAAATTGGACAATGATGGCTCTAAAAGTTCCCCAGGTGATTCTACTGTGCATCAAAATTTGAAAATCGGTGCTCTGAGGTGAGATCTGGGAATCAGGATTTTAACATGCTACCAGGGAAACTCTGGTCACTCAGGTTTGAGACCACTGTGTTAGGCACTTCCTGGCTAGAACAGACTTCCTTCACACTTAGGTGGTCTTAGGATCAATCACTTTTAGGGCTGCTTTTTCCAGCACCCTCAATCCCACCCCTGCATTTTTTTTTTTTTAAAGATTTTGCTTATTTATTTGACAGAGAGAGACACAGTGAGAGAGTGAACACAAGCAGGGGGAGTGGGAGAGGGAGAAGCAGGTTTCGACGGAGCAGGGAGCCCGATGTGGGGCTTGATCCCAGGACCCTGGGATCATGACCTGAGCGGAAGGCAGACGCTTAACGACTGAGCCACCCAGGCGCCACGGTCCCTGCATATTTCTTTACACTTCCAGGCTATAGTCCCAACTCTTCAAGCTTACTTAGGGTCATCATGACTTGGCCTTCTATTTATTCTAGGGAGCTGTCCCTCTAAATTATTTCCAAACTCCCATAAAAATGTAATAGAATGATTTTTGGAAAAAGCCAATAATGTAGGGTTACATTGAGTCATAAACTCAGTCTACATAGAACTGTTCACCTGGGGCAAAAAGAATCACTAAAGTGGCCCAAAGAAAAAGTTATTGATGGCAGTCAGGTTCCTAAGCAAACCTCCAGAAGCTTCATCTAACCCACAGTGGAGGCTGAAAAACGACCAAACAGGCCACAAACTGTCTTTCCCTGTCCTTCCACACCAAGACCTTCCCCCACCTGCTGGTGAACTCAGATATCATCCCAGCTCTCCTGCCCTCTGGAGGACCAAACACGTATTTTCTTCAATTTTCTTTAATTCAAGGTTTTAAAAAATTTATTGGAACTCTATTCTAGTTTCACTAGTAGTAAAAGTCCATAATCCTTTATTCACACTTCTGAAATCCTATAAACTATTAGAACTGAAAAGTTTTTGTAACTCATATGGTGACAAAACATGTACCCGACCTGAACTCTGACAATCCAACCTGATCTGAACTATTTATACTTGTCTGACTTTACCTCTCTTAGTGAGAACACACATACATTTCACTGCAGAGCTACTGACATGCTTGATTATGAAGAACTGGCCAGGACCTCACTGTGGATATTATATATGACATATGTACTGAATTGCCTTTCTAAAATCTGAAAAACTCTGGATTCCAAAACTCTAAACTCCAAGGGTTTCGGGAAACAGTCCGTAGACCTGGGTCCATACTATATTAATTTCTCCAAGTTTTTATTCTGAATCTTCAATTTTTCAGTTACACTGAGATAAATATGTTTTGGGAAGGGTGCTCACTTGAGGACCTAAACCCATTCATATAACTGTTTCTTATAAGCATATGCATTCATTGTTTTAAACAACTGATTTAGGAATGAACTTTTATTTATCTTTTTTAAAGATTTTATTTATTTATTTGACAGAGAGAGACACAGCATGAGAAGGAACACAAGCAGGGGGAGTGGGAGAGGGAGCAGCAGGCTTCCCGCGGAGCAGGGCTTGATCCCAGGACCCTGTAATCATGACCTGAGCCGTAGGCAGACGCTTAACGATTGAGCCACCCAGGAGCCCTGGAATGAACTTTTAAAACACTGTCTTTTTGCAAGTTAAGAACATCCTGGATAAACTCTGACAGCCTAGGGTACCAACATAAGAACTGGGTCTGCAAGCAGTTGGGTGACAAATTCCTTCAAAGCATTTCCCAAAGTGATTCCTAACCGCACATAACTCCAATTTACCACTCAACTGTAGCTGTATTTTAATATGTGTGTCATTTTATTATTGTCCACACTTTGCTGCACTGATTTAATGATCAGAGACTGTTCTAACAATTTCCAGTTATCACAGTCCCTAGACATTTTTTAAAAACCTACAGAATCAAAACATTATTCCTAACACTTTAAAGAGTGAGCTATTTTAGTAACTTCTTAGTCATTTAAGAGGGAGGTTTTAAGAAATGAATTGCAAGTAGGAATAAAGAAAATGTATCATGTTCTCTAAACTTTTACTATTTTGTCAAGCACAGATGCATGACAAGTCATGGCCTTTAAACGTACCAAAGCAAACTTTCAAAAAGTATTTAAATGTTATATCAAATAAAATTCTCAAAAATCAGAGATTAATTTTTGTGTGTGTGCTCCAAAGTAACCAGAGTCATAACCACCAGTAAAAACAGGGAAGGGGGGGGGGCTGTCCCATTACATCATCTGGCAATATGTAGTTTGAAGGCTTAGAGCGCTCTCCAAATAATCCTTAAGAAAATCCAGCTGGGAAATCATCCCTGTCAAGCTTAGATAACTTGAGTTTAAATAAAAGGTTAAAAAAGCTTCCCCACCTTACGTCACATGTCTGTACCATATGAAAAATAAAACCATCACTGAGGCATCTACCTCCCACTATCGTGACAGCAACGGAAAGGTCACAATTAAGTGGAACTCGCCGCACAGCCTGTTCAATCCGAGGGGGGAAGGGAAAGAAAAGCGAAGAGAAGGGGGGAAATCTCCGCGTCCCAAAGGCAGGCAGGCACCTCCGTGGAAAACCCACTCCCCTCTGCCTGACACCTTGCCCTCACCCAACAGATGATAACGTCGACTCCAAGATGCCGGTCATTTCTTTAGAGAAGGTGGGCCCCCCAAACCAGACAATAACCGAGAACAGGCAGCGGACGCGGCCACCCCAACATTTCCCGATTGTGGAAGGTGCAGCTCAAGTGTTCGCGGCTGTCCACGAGGCACACTTCCCCTTCCAGCCCGGGGAAGGACGGCCTGGGCGCATCTCCGCGGGAGGCCCCGGGGGTCACCGGGCGCCCCCTGCCTTCCCTCCCGACGCCCGCCGTCGGGGCGCCCCGCTGCCCCCGCCCGGCACCTACCGCAGCAGCTCCGGCGCCCGCCGACACGATGGGCGGCAGCTTCTCGCGCTCAGGCTCCTTCCCTTTCCTCTCGTCCGGAGCTGCCGCTGCCACCTCCGGCGGCGCGGCTGGCGAGGGCAC